TCGCGTAAACGCTATAGCATATACTATCCGTGGTTAGAGCGCTTATAATAGCGTTAAACTCGCGGCCGTATATTAGAAGATCGGAAATCTTATCGCTATAAACCTCTTTTATTATTAGCTCCTAAAGCTTAGTTTCTACCTAAATAGGCGTAAACTTCTATCTAACTACTATTAGGAAGTTCCGAATAATAATAGGTCCATAAATCTCGGCTACCTTTTACTAATATACGCGTTTAATAAGGGTATTCTACTCCGTATACTATATAGCTATTTTAGTATTAGCTTAATAAGTATCTTATAGATACTTTTCGTATACTCGTTTTACCTTTTTCTTTATATGAATACTACTTAGAGCTAAATTACTCTTAAGTTCCTTTATTATATAGCATAATATAAAGTATCGGTTTTATTTTTCCTTATCGTAGCTGGGATATTTCTTAATAGCCTTTTCGATAGCCTATTAATAGGTAAAAGTCTTTACGGTGGTTTTAAGTAGTTAATTAGCCTTATCGAGCGCCTTAATAAGGCGACTAAGCTTTTAATTTTAAGCTATAATCTATTAGTTCTCGATTTCGGTAAGGCGTATAAGCTCCTACATTGAGGGTATAATAGTATTATCGCCCTCGCCTTAAGAATACTATTCGCGTAGTTAATCTAGGGATTTAGGTATAATATACTTAGGGCGGTTATTTAGCTAATCCTTTTAACTAGGATTAAGTAGTGTCTAGACCTTTATCCTTTACGTATATAACTAGATATAGAAGATCTAATCGGCCTAGTACCGCGTGGATTTAAGACGCGGGATACCGAGCGTTTTAGCTATAATCTTAAGCTTATTCGATATAGTATCGAGTAAGGGTTTAGCGAATAAAAGCTTATTATTAGTAAAGAGAGCGTAAGAGGGCTCTATAATACTATAGAAGTATATAAAAATAAACGTAGATAATAGATTAGTAGGAAGTTACTAGTTACTATTACTACCCTGGTTTATAACTATTAAATTCACGGGAGTATACTTATAGGGAGCGTTAATTCAGGAAATATATAATTATATTATATATAAAAGAGAAAGAAAAAGGGGGCGGGTATACGTGTCCTAAATACATCTGCCACCTTCTAAGCGAGGATAGTGGGGCACCTCTAACTAATAGGAGAGCACCATACCGTGGCTCACGTGATAGAATATGACATCAAGAACACCATAGAAGTGTCCACAGTGCGCATGATCTTATGCTCCTCGGATTCCCATACGCGTATGCACCTCTGACAACCGCGTCGGCGTCCTTAAGTGCCCCGTTGCTTTGGGTCTTGCAGTTCGTTTTGAATAAGCCCGCCTTCTTCTATGCGCCATGGTCCCGTCTGCTTTCCAACGAATAATTCTCTTTCGACCCAAGCCCTAGAAGGGATCTGAGGATCTGAAGTGGGACACCTCGCGATGTTCATTAACCCATAAATCCCATAAATCTGACGCCTGGAATGCTACTCAACTTCGGCACCAGTTCTGACCCTGCATTCCATCCCTTCGTGTCCCACATTGCGGCCTATTACTTCTGATTTTGCTGAAGAATGCGGAGGGAGATTTTCGAAGCCCGGCCTTCTCTCAGTTCAGCCGACTCTTTTGCACATTGGAAACACTCCCTCGGAACTCTACACCCAACTACAATATCTCACGTAGTGTACTACCCGTGCCGCGCTTGTCTCACTCACTCGTTTCTCCCCAGCACCAGGGTCGGATTCTACGGACCTCCTAGATCCCCTGACCCTTCTACGGACGAATCCAATGCGCAGAGGAGAAATAAAAGATCAAGTTGTTCTTGTTTACAGGTCTTAACATACACGTCCACCACCGCACATCCCATGCTAGGACCCAACGAAGCCCTCTTTCAACCCCTGCCATAATAGCAATTTCATGGACTTGTATTCTCTCAAATGACTACACAGCCGATGAGACAGTCCCCAACCGGGAGGCTTTTCCTTACCCTCGCCCACCCGGATAGCGTAACGGAGTAGTAGTCCACCTCCCATGCGAACAGCCGACGCCCGCTCCAACTCCCGTATTTCCTTCCTGCCCGAGGCGAAGAAACGGAATATAAATAATAATAATAATGAGACGAGACCTTCACCTTGGTATAATCAGGTACTTTTCTCTTTCCTACATGATACACGGCGGGAGGGCTGCTGGCAGGGACCCTAAACAAATATATGATCTGTAGCGGCCGACCAGAGCTTCGCGATGGGACAAAGGAAGAAAACGCTCCCTCAGAAGCTGAGACGACAGGTCGTTATCGGAAACCCCGGGCTTGAATCATCTCAAAAAAAGACGATTTTAGCCCATGACCAGACCCTTCATGCTGGCCAGATCGCCCTCCTTGGCTGCAATCTCGAAGTAACCGTAGATGATGCTGGGGAAAAAGAAAAAAAAAATAACATGTTAGCCCAAAAAAAAAAAGGTACTGAGATGGTAGACGAAATAGCCTGCTTCTTAGCAAAGAAGGGGGCAACTTACGTGACGGCAAGAAGAGTACCAGTGCCCGAGCCCAGAGCACCCATCAGGTCGCTGGCGACAGAGAGAGCACCAATGCAGGCACCACCAAAGGCGGCAGCCGTAGGAATGACGCGCTTGAGCTCCTTGTACATGCTCTGGTCACGATGTCCAGCCATGACGAGACCCTGGTCCTTGAGCTGCTTGGCGACGTCGCGGGGGCTGGAGCCGGAGACCTCGATCCACGTCTTGGAGAAGACGGCGCAGGCGGTGAGCATGTAGGTGATGTACACGAGGGTGTGGATGGGGTCGATCAGGGCGTCCTTCATGTTCAGAGGCGGGGACATGTAGTAGGCGAGACCGGACACGGCGGCGAGCTGCGAGGTGCCCTCCTTGGCCTCCCAAACACCGAAGAGGCGGACGAGGAGGTTGTCGGAGAAGCGGGAGTACAGCATCTGGCTGATGAGGAAGACGTTGGACGACAGGGCGGACTGCAGCATGATGGGCATGTTCGAGGTGTAGAACAGGCGGACCGGGTACGAGCCGCGAGCGCCGCGCTGGCGGGAGGACTTGACGGGGATCTCGACGCGGAAGCCCTGCAGGTAGATGACGGCGGCGAAGACGGTGATGGTGGCGAGCAGGTTCATGATGTTGGGGAGGTTCTGGCGGTAGAAGGCCTCGTGGAGCGCACGCTGCTTGTTGTTCCAGGTCAGGAGCAGGTGGAAGAGCGCAATGACGGCACCCTCAAACTCGGGGCCACGGCCGGTGTTGATGGTGGTCGGGGAGAAGGCCTTCCACATGATGGACTCGCAGATGTTGGTGGCGATGAAGAGCGAGATGCCGGAGCCGAGGCCATAGCCCTTCTGGAGGAGCTCGTCCAAGAGGATGACGATCATGCCGGCCACGACGAGCTGGAGGATGAGGAGGAAGACGATGCCGGCGCCGAGGTCCGAGGGGGGTCCATATTGACCGGAGAAGACATAGACGGTGGCAGTGCCGGCAGAGAGGACGAAGGCCAGGAGCTTCTGGGCCGTTTGGTAGAGCTCGCGGTCGGACTTGAGGTCAAGGTTCACGTCGATGACGTGAGTGCCGGCAAGGAGCTGGAAGACCATACCGGACGAGATGATGGGTGTGATACCGAGCTCCATGAGCGTACCGCGATTACTGGCCATGACCATACGCAGCCAGTAGAGCGGATCGGAGTTGTCGGAAGAGACGATGCCATAGAGGGGCATTTGGCTCATAACGAGGAAAACAAGCAGAGTCAAGGCCGTCCACATCAACTTTTGGTTGAAGGGAATCTTGGTCTCCGGCTGCTGAACCTCAGGGAGGAACGGCACGAAGGGCTTGACGAGGTCGAGGAAGCGTACTGGATAGAGTGAGAGACAACGCGTTAGCCAACGAAATCGCGACTTAGTGTGATCGAATGATGTGGATGAATGATGTGGCATTGCATTCGAGACTCCATCTGCGTCCCAGTTCCCCGTCCAACTTCCGCAAGCCGCCCGACGAGCTTTGGAATGGAAATGGGAGGGCAATGCGCGATGATGGGGAGACATGTCGCGATGGGCAACAAGAAGCGGGAACAAACTCACGGGAGCTCATGGTGGCGGTGGTTCAATGACGAGATTAAAAAACACAATGGTCCTAGTTGCCCAAGAGAGCAGAGGAAAAGAAAAGAAAAGAAGAATGCTCTGAGCAACAATGGCCCAGGCTATTCAGATAACCTGAAGGAAAGGAGGGGGGGAGGAAACGAAGAGAGAAAGGACGGAATATTAATCGCGGAGAGAAGAGAGGGAGCTTGGAGAAAGGAGGTCGAGGAGCGAAGGCTGCGATCTGGCTTCAAAATCACCCGAATTGTCAATGTGTCCAAAGGTCGGGGGGTGGAGCATAGACACGTGACTGGCGTTTGTCCGCCAATGGCCAATTGCTTTAGTTGATTGGCTCGTCAGGCTTACAAAATTACCCTCTGATCGTGCGCTCTTTATCCGTATCAGTAAGATAAGGTGCTCAGTGCTCCGTACCTTAGGTAGGTAGGTACGTACCGCCGGCGGACTCATGATCGAGACCATATTCTTCTCCCCAACACTTCCTTCTCGCCTATGCTATGCCCCGCGAGGTGATATATGTCTCTCAGTGTCTCCCCGGGGAATGCCTGTATGGTCTCAGCTTTTGCGTATATCCATTCATCATCATGCAGCTGCAGCTGGCATTACCAGAAGAATGGCGACCAAGAACCCTCCTCCTCGAGAGCCCTTGATCTTCGTCCTTGGGTCGACAGGAACTGGCAAATCCGAGGTGCGTCTTTCTTCGTCCCGTTACAACGCTATGCGCCCTCGTCTCCTCCTTCTTTAAAGACGACTCTCTCTCGACTCTCGGCTGAAGTGTTTCGCAGCTCGCCGTAGAGCTAGCTACGAGGTTCAACGGCGAAGTCATCAACTCGGACGCCATGCAACTCTATAAGGGCCTCCCTATCATCACGAACAAGATCACCCCCTCGGAACGCCGCGGCGTGCCCCACCACCTTCTAGACCATATAGGCCTCGACGATCCTCCCTGGGTGGTCGACGACTTCAAGCGTGCAGCCACCCAGGCCATCCAGGACATACGGGCCCGCGGCCGCCTCCCCATCCTGGTCGGCGGGACGCACTACTACACCAACGCCCTCCTCTTCGACGAAGTCCTCGTGGAGGGCGAAAAAGAAGAACCGTCCTCGTCTTTCCCCATCCTCTCCGAACCCACCGACGTCATCCTCGCCAAACTCCGCCAAGTCGACCCCGTCATGGCTGCCCGCTGGCACCCCAACGACCGTCGCAAGATCTCCCGCTCCCTCGAGATTTTCCTCAAATACGGCCGTCCCGCGTCGGAGATCTACGCCGAGCAGAAGCGCCGCAAGGCCGCTGCCGCTGCCGCTGCCGTTGAAGGAGGCGGCGCCGGCGGCGGGGACACACCCTCCTGGCAGAACTTGATGTTCTGGGTCCACACCGACCCCGAAGTCCTGAAAACCCGCCTCGACGGCCGCGTCGACAAGATGCTCGCCGCCGGCCTCCTCGACGAGACGCGCCAAATGTTCGAGCACGTCCGTCGCAAGGAATCCGCCGGCCAACCGGTCGATTTCACGAGGGGCATATGGCAATCCATCGGCTTCAAGGAACTCGAGCCATACCTACGCGCTTCCTCCTCCTCGTCCTCGTCTTCTGTACCCGAACCCGCCGACCCCGCCGATCCCGCCGACGCCGTCACCCTCGCCGCCCTCCAGTCCTCCGGCCTCGAAGCCGTCAAGATCTCCACGCGCCAATACGCAAAATACCAAACCCGCTGGATCCGCACCAAGGTAGTCCCCCTGCTACGGGACCACCCGGCCGGCGCCATGTCCCGCCTCTTCGTCCTCGACACAACCGACCCCGCCCACTGGGCCGAACAGGTCGCCGACCCCGCCGCCTCCATCACCCGGCGCTTCCTGGCCGACGAACCCTTACCGGACCCGGCCTCGCTTTCCCCCGCCGCGCGCTCCGTGCTCGAGGCCGTCGTGGCCGCGGCCGCGCCGGAGTCGCCCGCCGCGCTGAAGCAGACGCCGTGCCAGCGCACGTGCGAGCTGTGCCGCGTCACCTGCGTCACGGAGGAGTCGTGGGAGAAGCACCTGAAGAGTCGAAGGCATAACGCCATCGCGCGAAGGGTGAAGAGGAGGGCGCTCGTGCCTGTGGAGACCTCTGGCGAAGAAGCCGGCGAGGGGCCCGAGATGGAGAAGACTCAGGGTGAGAGAGGGACTAGAGGGAGGAGGGGAGAGGGGGATAGATCACGTACCCCTGATATGGATCTGGGTTCAATAGATTTTACGCCGCCTGGCTGACTACAGTGGCGAACCTCGAATATTTTGGAAAACTGATGGATAATGTGATGTTACTGTGAGATGTTTCCCCTCGGTCCTCGCTTTTCGTGTTCATGGGTGAGAAGTCATGGTAGAAACAACAGCGAGAGAAACGAACAAGTATTGTACATTGGAATATCAGGCCCATCCCCCAAGACTCCAAGGGGTAAAGTAAAGAAAGCCCCATCCATCTATCGTGGAAACTGAGCAGCGTATCGTCAGGAAGACGGGCTGGGGGGATATGATAGAAACCCCGTCTGTATGGCTGAGAAGAGATGACGTTCCAGCATGCCCACCCGAGCGCCCCAAAAATATCCTCGTTCTAACCTCTATACGTCTTGATCCTCCTCGTTCGAAGTGCGCCACGATGCGCAAACAGCCCAGTTCGAAATGTAGGATCCCACGGTAACCATATATGCCGATGCATCATCAACTCCAAAATACACACCCCAGACAACGTGTTTCCGTCCCCTCCGCGCACACACCACCAAATTTACTCCTTTTTGCTATCCCATTTCCCAATTCGTCCATATCGTCGTTCGTATACCGCTACTCACCACGTCGAATGCGGCGGCGGCGCCCCAAAATTCCCCAACCCGCCAAACGCCAAGAGATCCGAAGCCGCCTGCGGGTTAATCGTGGCTCCCAGGTCCGACGACGGCCCCATCTCCGGCCACGGGTCCCAGTCCGAAGCCAGCGGGTCGAAGAATCCGTTCAGGAAATCCATCTGCATCTCCGACGCCGCACCGTTATCCGTCGTCGCCATCGCGTTGTTGTTGTTGTTGTTGTTGTTGTTGCCGTTGTTCCCCGGCTTCGCCGTGCCGGGCCGGCTGCTCAGAGTCGCCGCCAGGTCGGCCGGCAGCCGCGGGAGGATCTGCCGCAGCTTGTTGACGCACACGGGCGGTTCGCAGGGGGCGCCGAGCTGGGCGAGGGCCTGCTCGCGCCGGGGCCAGGTCTTGAGGATGAGGTGGGCGAGCTGGAGGTGGGGCTTCTGTGTCATGGTGAGCAGCTCTTCGTGGTACTCGTACACCTTGTCGAAGAGGCGCCAGGTGCGGTCGGCGAGGCTGCCGGTGGCGGGTCGCTTGTGGAGCATGGTGGCGAGGTAGATGATGATGTCGACTTGGCAATGCATGGTGAAGAACCACCGGTAGTTGCGGTCGTTGACCATGTCTGCGTAGGCCAGGTTGCTCTCCTCGTGGCAGACGAAGATGCGGAAGATGTTGTCGTGGACGTTCCTGACCTCGGTGCCCCATTCGGGGATCTGGCGCATCGGCGTGATCATGCTGCGGAGCCTGCCGAGAAGCCCGGGACGGATGAAGCTGGCGGCGACATGAATGGGCCCTGCCGAGGTATCGAGGTAGCGCTGCTCGATTTCGATGAGCCTGGCCTCGAGTTTGTCTATTACGGCGCTCTGCGTTGCGAGAATTTCGATGGCGGCCGCATATTCCGGGCTATCGGGGTCGGCGCCCTGGGTATGGAATATCGCCTCTTCCGTGTCCAACATGCGGTTGCGAGAAATGAACCGGCCAATCTCGCAGAACATGATGCAGAAAATCATTTCGGTCGGTCCCTCCCGCGGCTGGATCGGTTCGGTGGACCCTCGGAAAAGACTCGAGTCGTCGATATTGGTGGGGATCTCCGTATCCCAACCCCACGGCAACAGAGTGTCTGCGAAGCCCGAGGTGATGGCATATTTGCAATCCAACATGATGATCTGCCACCAGACTCTCCTCCTCATCTCGGTCTCGAAGGGTGGCAAATTTAACTTCTCGCCGTCGCGGTGAAGACCCATCTTGTAAGCGATACGGATCAAGACTCCGCTCAGCACCCAAGCCGCATGACGATCGTACCGTCCTTGGAGAGAAATCTGCATGTAAGGGCTGTTAGCAGTCTCCTGGATGCGGGAAGAAAGAGAGCAGCCAAGGGTGGCGGGAAAACAGGGAATTGACACGTACAAGGTAGAGTACCAGCGCCTGCAAAGTGACCATATCATAATGCTTCATAAAGTTCACCCGGGTCAGGGCTGACTTGACGCCTGCGGTGAAGGTTTTGAGAGCCTCGTCCTTGGAAGTATCGAGCATCTGCCTGCACTCGGACTCGGATAGCGATACCGTACAAACAAGGTATATGGCGAACAATAGGCACTGGATGTTATTAGGTACGTTTCGATGGTTGGCAGCGGCTTCGATGACGAGGGGCTGAAGAGACGGAACATGGACCAGCTTGGTGAGAGGGTTGATCCTTTCGAGGAAGACCTGCCACAGGCGGAAGACCTGGACGGGGGAGGGAGCGACGTCTTCTAGTTCGATGGCGGAAAAATCATTGAGGAGGAGATCGACGTTGTCGTCCGGCGTGACAGCGCTGGAGCTCAGGGGGCTCTGTTCCTCGACAGCCTCAGCGTCCACTATGGCGCGCATGGCTTGGAGCTGTAAAGTAATGGGGGCTGTTAGAGGGGAAGAACTGAAAGAACGGAAGGAAAAGCGGGAGAGTGGAAGAAAAGGGGAACGATTTACATTCTCGTGAATGGTACGCCACACGATGCTGTCAACAAAGGTGACACTCCCGTCCTGTACAACGAGCTTGCCGGGGCGCTTCAAGTTACCCGAGGGGTCGTCGCCCTCGTGGAGGGATGCCGAGGGAGTTTGCATGCCAGCGGGGGAGTGTGGTGTAGGCACATTTGAAGATAGGGTGGTTTGGGCGGTCTGGGGCCGAGGGCTCGGAGCAAGGGGATGAAGGCCGGGAAGGCTGGGGACGGGAATAGAGTTCGATGACGACGCAAAGGTGTAGGCAGCAGAGGCAGAGGCGGCAGTGGAGCCGACGGAGGAGGCGGTAGGTGAATCGGCGAGGTTATTCGGTAGGTTAGGAAGCGGGCCGGCGGAGGCATACTGTTTCAACAGGGCTTCGCAGCGGGCGAGTCTCTCTTGGAGGTCCTGGTTCGGTCGTCTTCTCTTCCGAACGGGAGCTGGGGTCGATGGCGAACAAGGGACGTTGGCCTGGAAGAGAAAAGAAACATGGTTAGCGTCCTGGCGCAGCAGGGCGAGAGAGAGGAGTTGCGGAGGGAAGGGGATAGGAAAATAATGAAAGGTATGGGAAATTGGACTGCGCAAATAAAGCGAAGAAGCGTGGCAGGGGCAGGGTCCAGGCAAGGCGACAGCAATCATGGTAGCTAGCTCACCTTGAGGCAATTAGAGCAGGGCATATTCCTGTCGCATTTGATCTTTCGATGTTGGCAGAGGACGCATGCCAAGATCCTGGGGGGCTTGACATGTTGTGTCTGCTGCTGTTGCTGCTGCTGTTGCTGCGGTTGTTGCGATTGTTGCGATTGTTGCGCCTGTTGCGGCAGTTGCTGGCCGGGCAATTGGCCAGGGGTTGAAGCTTTGGATCTCATGACTGGGAGCGTGGCGACGGTGGCAGGGACATCGCCAGGAACAATTCAAGGGACGGGTTTGCGACTGCGTATGGCGCACCGGGAGGCGAACACGATGGGACGGTGGGTTCGCCGGCGACCGGTAGTCGGATGGGAGAGGGCCGATCTCTCGGGGCGTATCGAGGGCGATTTCCTCAAGGGTTCGTAATATTCCGGACAAATTGGACGGAGGGGAAAAAAAAAGGTGCGACCGACTCGGGCCCGACGGTTGAAGAGCGGGAGCGTAAGAGAGGCGAGTATGAGCAGCGTGGGGTTGCGGCGAAGCGGAAGTACCGCGGTTGAAGAGAAAGAGGCGAAGTTCAGTCCCGGTGAGGTGTATTAGACAATGTCGAGAAACAAAATCTAACCCGCCCTCCGTTCTATTAGTCTCCCGATATTAAAGTTTCCTAGTGCTTCAGCACCAGAAAGAAGCACAAGATGTCTTGACAGGCATGGGGGAAACAAGGACAATTGGCTGCTGCCTGGACAATAACTAGCGGACTTTTTGTCCACACAGGGGAGAGGGATGAGGACCACGTAAGACAGTGAGCTGCGGTGACATTGCTGACGCCAAAGAAGAACAGGGGCAAGGAGGGGTCAGGAGATAAAGATTTCAAATGGGATATTTCGAGAAAAACTTGAAAGACAATCCTCCTACCTCTTGCGATTAGATAGTACGTTGTACTTCGTAGCAAACGCTGACGAGCTTGAAGACAACTGCCGTGGATGGATGCAACCCGAGGAGGTGGCTATGCAAATCGCCAATTTGATAAGGGCCACAAGCCAAGCGAAGCGAGAGCCGCCCATTCAACAAAGCGAGGAGCGATCTGAAACCTCCCGCGGAGAGTTTGAAGCCGGGAAATTGTGTGCAAGCAGCGGCCCAAGCAGTCCGAGCAGTTCCAAGGAGCGCAAGGAGAGACGAGTGGGGGAGCAGGTGGAAGCCCAACAGAAACCAGCCCCAGCGGAGTCGGAGGCGGAGGTAAGCAAAGACCGATATCGTCTCTCCTAACCAAGTCGAAGCTTGCCTTTCCCACAAGCTATCCGTATCAGTATGTACGTGTACTGTTAAAAAAAAAAAAAAAAAAAAAAAAAAGGTCTTTCCGGAAGGGCCACGGAGCGGAGTTTTGGAAGCTCCCTAGACCGTTGAAATTCGGCCGAGTTTGTAGAAAATATAGTAAATAAGGCTGTTGTCCTCGCGAGAGGAAGGACGATGACGCTCCTCTCACAGTAGTTAGCTGGATGTAATCCTACTCAGTAGGATGCGGTGGATGTAGGATGTAATTACGGAGTAAAGATGTCGGAGTAAAGACGTCGGTTTGATGACGTGGGAATTGAGAGTCGGGGGAATCGACAACGGGAGAAGGTAAGACCTAACGGCGGGGAGAGAGGTAAGGTAGGCGTTTATTGGGAGGGGTTATTACCAAGTACCACCAGGTATCGGTATCAGAACGTTCCGCAAGGTAGACGGATACATAAGGTACAAAGTATAGTCCCTAAGGTAGGTACCTAGATACCTAAGTAAGTAAGGTACCCTTCGTACATACGTATACGGTATATTCCTCCTGTCGAACATAACACAAGGCCCTAAGGTAGCTGACGACATCCTCTCAAGATTACGGCCGCCCAAGACCAACGTGATGCTGCTCGTACTTCCAACCAAACATATATATACGAGGCGTGCATGTTGCTTTTGCGTTGCATGACTCGAAACTACTGTACAAATTGGGCTCAGATTGTTTACCTAAAAAGGACAAACTTCAACCCATGCATCTCCAACAGATATTCGAAGACTCTCGCTTTGAACCAATCATGGCTAATGTGTACGTGTACTAAGGTACGAACAGGTACTCGGTGCCTGCTTGGCGACTAAGGTACCTTACCTAAAACGGATTGTCCAATGTGCGTACAGAGGTAATTACGTCTTTCGCGATTCGCATTTCGTATCTCGCATTCGGACTCTGGAGCTGATCGAAGTCACGCTTCTCGGGAATCGGTCATTCGTGCCACCGAGGCCGATACTGGAAAAGTTCTTCGTCGCGAAATCGTGCATGGTTTGTAATTTATAAGTTGGGGTTCAATTCATAAATCAAGAAAAACAAGAGAATAACAAAACCCCCTCAAGAAAAAGGAAAGAAAAGGAAAAAAAAAAAGAAGGGGGGGGGGGGGTTGAGGGTCTTCATGTCTCCGATCCCGAACACGAACACGACAGAGCACCCAACTGATAACCGTCAGAACAACCAGTACGTACGAAGGACGTTGACGGTTGGACTTGTCCCGAAAGCCACACCAAGGGTTTACCTTGACAACGACACTACGACGTACACGGTACTGGGGCTCAACACTGTCAGTGGTGTATCGTGTTGCGTAGGCATCTTGCAAGGAACGAACACTCGATGAGAGTCACGTAGATGTTTTCCCTGTGCTCAACTAGGTATCTACTATCTATTCTCGCTGCAGCTATGGATGATCTTGAAGTCCGCTGGAGTAAGGCAGTCATAACATCGATTCCTCATGTCGCATGTGTCACACAAAACAGAAGCTCCATATTAATATACCTTGAATTTCCATTTCCATTTCCACTGCTATTTCCGTTTGATGAACTCACCAGGAGTCCCATCTGCTAACTAGCATGTCAGCAACCAGGCAAAAGGGCAAAGAAAGCTCACCTAATCCAAACCGCGGGGCAAGTGCCCCTGAATCTTAAGCGCAATGCATCGACCTAATATCCGTTATACCGGGGATCCCTCCCGACAAAGGGAGGCTGGAAAGTTTGAGCAGGCGGAATCGGCGTCGGATGATGCAGCCGGGCCTGGGGTGCCGTCACAAACCGTCCAAGCGGCGCAGAAGCAACGCCACCATTAGTAGACCGAGCCGCGGCCGCGCTGCGTGCGTCGGAAGGGAAGTTCGCCGCCTCCGCCGTCCGCGGACCGGTTTGCAACTCGAACGAGATGACCGTGTCGTCGTCGTTGTCGTCAACGACCTCATTGCGCCGGTGGCCTTGGTTGGTGTTGCCGCTCTCGCTTCCACTGCGGCTTCCGGCTTCAGAGCCGCTTCGGCTGTGGCTCTCGCGAGCTCTGTATGAGTTCCTCATCCCGTAGAGGCTCAAGATGACGAAGACTGTCAAGATGACGCAGTTCAGAGTCAGTAGGGTTATGAAACCCACGCGGAACTGGTCGCAGTTCATGGATCTTGGTGCGATAGGAGCCATCTTGAGTTGGGTACTCTTCTTTGTGTCTGGGAATATATTTCTGGGAATATATTTCTGGGAATATATTTCTGGGAATATATTTCTGGGAATATGCTTCTGGGAATGTGTCAGTACGTTGCAAGGGAAGGAAGCGACGTACCTATGTGTAACTGATCGAGCTGATATCTCTCGGAGATTTCTCAGGTTGAAATAGTAATCTGGCTTTGGTTTACTGTTGTTGCTGTTGCTGTTGCTGTTGCTGTTGGTTGATGCTGGATGGAAAGACGACCGGGAAGAAGAGCTGGGCATGGTCATCTTTATAGTCCTTGCTCGAGACGATCATCCTCGGTGGAAAGAAACAATTCTTTGTCTGTTCTCTGTCAAAGACTACTGTTCTGTTAAGATATGTTCTTTGAACGAGGCGATTATCCTCAGCGGAAAGCAACATTGCATTGTCTGTTCTCCATCGAAGATCACTGTTCTGTTGAAATACCTTCTTTGAACGGGAGGAATAAAGGTATCCCTAAAGATAGAATAAAGAACAACTGCATGGACACAGAACAAGATCATCCTGTCTCGGTGTACCTGTTCTGACGCTCGGTATGTCGGTGTGCAGAGACATCATCATAGTTCACCGAGCAATGCCCCTGAACTGGCTCCTTCCACGGCAGGTGCGTACTGTTAAAAGTCCATAACCACGGCAACTGCGCGCCTTCCTTGAACCCAAGAACGTCCTTACCCATCGTCCCAAAGCCAGGCAGCCCAAATTCTTCTCAACTTCTTTCTTTTCAACTCTTTCAACCCCTTTAACTCTTTTAACCCTCTTAACCTTCACACCAAGCTTGACAACAAACCATCTCAGAATTAGCTCTTCTATCTTCTCTCATCTCAGAAGAAGATACGCTCATGAGATATAGGAGACTTGCCCACCATGCCCGTCATCTCCACTCTTAGCAACTCGGTGGCGCGCGTGATGCCTGTTGCCAATATCACGGTTGCCAATATCACGGCCCTCCCGTCGCTTGTTTCGTCTGGTATCCAGGCATCGCCAGCACTGATCTTGCCCTTGACAATGCCCTCCAACGTCACAGGATCAGCCGGGACTACCGAGTCTGAACCCTCTCCCAATTTCGTCGCGGCTTATGTAGTCCTTTTCACCGTCCCCGGCATCTTCATCGTCATCGCCGTCATCGTCACCATCAAAGATCGCCGTGCCGCAAAGGCCTGCAACCCCGACGTCGAACTCGAGGAGTTCCATCCGCACTGGTTCCCGTGGCGCAACGCCATTCGGGAGACCGAGGGTCCTTCGCCGGGCCAGGTGCGCTCCAGGGCCCCAACTCCCAAGCCCGCTGCCGCCGCCGAAGATGGCAAATGGCGATGGAAGATCGTCAAGGGAAAAGGTAAGCAGCCCGAACGCCCCGTCCCCGCCTCCCCGAGGTCAAGCCTCCCTGGCGAGATAAGATGGACTAACCCTCTCGATATCGTCGGCCCAGCCAAACCCACCTCGACCTCCCGCGGCGGCCCGCCCCAAACCGCCGAAGAATGGCAAGAGTTCCTGCGCCGCCCGCACCCACGGGGAAACAACAACGCGAGGGCCAGGGCGCAGACCCAACCCACCAGCAGGTCCAAGGGCGGCCGCCGCCTGGTGCCCGTCCAGGAACAAACGGGCGAGCCGTCCCAGTCCCGGTCCCGCACCCACTCGGCGCCTCTGCCCTTCCCAACCCCCTGCCGCCGACCCTGTTCAAGAACCGCGCCCCCTCGGAGCCGAACGCCTACGCCCACATCCAGATCGCCTTGCCCCTGGCCCTGCCCCAGCGCCCGTCAACCTCGCACTCGCACTCGCACTCGTCCCGGTCGCGCCGCTCGTCGCACGCCCGGTCCCCCAAGCGACGGCCCCGCGCGCACTCCCAGCCGCAGCCGCACAAGGCCGGCGAGAAGTCGACTGCCGAGAACAAGAACATTAGCATGGGCAAGCGCCGACATGGCCCCAAGCTGCCCCCCGTCCCGCCCAATACCCCGACCTCCCCCAGGGCCCTCTCGCCTTCTCCCGGTGCCGAGCAAGAGCGCCGTGAGCAGCACCTGCAGGGCATCACTATCCCATACGTGCTTGCTTTTGATTTCGGTTCGGACGCTGAGGACGATGTGAAGAGCGACGGAGCTGCCCCGGAGAAGTAGTAGCATGTCAAAGTCGAGGGCAAAGATGTTGCGGCTCGGATCTCGGCAAGCCCTTGGAGAATTCGGACGGGCTGTTGCTTCGCTCGCGCTGTTCTCTCACAGACCCCGGTGGCTAGGTGGAAACAAATTCGTCGTGGTGGCTAGTCAGACCACAAATTGCATGCATATTAGCAGAGACGTTGCCGAGTTGCCAACGAAGGATTGAGACTTATATCTGAGGTCAGTTTGTTGTGACGGCGCAAGGACCATGGGCCAAAAGTCACAACGTAAGGAGGTAGGAAATATGCCAGCAACACCCAAGTACGCAGGAACAGAAAGTAGGTAGCCAACGAAAAATAGAGACCTTCCATGGTGGTCTTCGATTGCTGTAGACCTCATAAGCCTTCTTTCCATTCTCTCTCTCTCTCCCCCCTCCTTCCTTCACGGCTATAGAGTGAATTCCTACAGCTTCGGTCTCTGATAGTCTTGATGCACCCGTTCGCTGGCCAGGGCGCTGTGCGGCGGCACATATGCACTCTTAAGATCCAAAACGTGCGGCATGCCGCGAATAGTTCCCAGATTCTGACATCTAGCGCCCGGTTATTGGCGGTGACCCGATGCGATGTCCTTTGCCATGATTACTCCCAGTAGTGTCCCGAGAAGCATGAGATACTGTGTCGAATTAGACTGCCGTTTGTTTTTTTGTCTTGCGCTCAGATTCCGTAAACTCCCGCCGTCCGTTGTATTTCCCAAACGCCGCAAACGCCAAATCCTAAAGAAATCTCCAAGAGCTGCCTTGTTCGCTCTTGGTTCATGCTGGGCCCGGTGCCGCAGACATACCGAACAGAATGATAAGTGATTAAGGCTGAAAGAATTGTATACAAATAAGAATAGAGTTTGAATCGAATTGAGCCCGCTGTGCGAATAGTAGGTAGCGCGTATGGTGGATTACCCAAGCCAAATTCCGAGTAAGCATTGTTGATCGCGCCGACGGGTGATATAAGCAATGTCATACATGAGCAGACGCCGACAGCCATTTAGTCGTCGTCACCCCAGATGGGAGCGTTGAGCGATTTGCTGACGCCCATGCCGACACCGACAGCGACGCCGACAATGAAGAGAATGATGGCGACTTTGGCGATAATGCGGTTTCGCTTGCTGAGATTGGCGAAAAAGTTGCAGGCATAGCGGCTCCGCTTCGCCGTCTTGGCCTTTTGCTTCCAGTGCTGCTTACCAGGCCAAACGGTGGGGCAATCTGGCTTGTCCTGGGCGGCCGACTTGCGACGACCGTAGGGTTCAGAAGTAGTGGAGACCATGGCCTCCATGTCGGTGTCGAAAGGATTGTCGGCCTGATGAGACGGTGTTGTGGACAGGCTGCTGTTGCGTCGCAGCTCCATCGTCTTCTCGGGAGCAGACTTGTGATTCAAATCCGGCTCCATGGCGGCGGGCTTGGGAACCGTAGGAAGTTGGTTCATGTTTAGGCCTTGCAGAAGGAGCCCCGTGTCTTCTGCAGCCGTTGTCGCCATGGGATGGAGGGAGGGTCGATTGTGTAACAAGAGGAATAGATTGGATTCGACCGAGATAGGAATGTGGCGGGAACGGGCAGATCAGTGGCGAGTTGATCTGAATAAAGGGGAGACTGAGGACCCTTAGGGGAGGATTGGAATGTTGTCGTGGACCAAAGCTAGAAAAAAGGAGTTTGAGGTCGTCGAATCCCCGTCGCTGAAACTTGACTGTGGCGCGACCCAGAACAGACGACTAAGAAGTGCGTGCAGTGAGATGTTGTAAGACTGTAGCCAAAAAAGGACAGGTTAGCACGACATGGTCTTGGATCAATCGAACTTTACACGAGAAACAGCATAGGGGTCAAAATGGACTGATGGCTGGAAGGGTGTTCCGTGACAAGGACAGCGGGGGATTGTAATGCCAGGGGGTCTAGAGCTCGATTTAAAACAGGAGGGCAGGGGCCAGGCAATAATGAAGAGGGTGGTGCATGTTCACCACTTGCGCAGCGGTGCGCTTCGTGTACGAGGAAGGTTGAGTTAGAAAGCATGCTAGGAATGTACGAACCAATTGTCGGATATTTTTCAGAGGCTTGGTGAGAGCCAGTACCGTTTCTCGACGCTACCCACATAGACAATGCAAGTTGTAGTGTATCGAGGGTACCGTTGCCGAGAAGATGACGGTTTCAGCGAGTAGGCGTCAGCGACGTGGAGGCTGGAAGGACGAAAGATTATGTCGAATTCGGACTTGTTGGAGCCAGCCACACACAAATGGCACGCAGGACTGGGATAGGAAGCGGTTCCCAAAGTGCTCTCTCGTCAGACAATTTGCGACGTTGTTTCCGAGTCGGAGGTATACGATTAAGTCGTGAAATTGTATGGGTGCTTATTATGGGTTGAAGAAGTAAATTGAGAAGATCTGAATTCAGGTAACGCGTATTCGTTCCGCCGTTCTTGGAAGCGAAAGATAAACGGGGTATCTAGCGAGATCGAAAATTGGTTGCTGGACGGGAGGATCAATTCTCGGGGACGGCGAAGGGGCCAAGTCGATGAGCAATGAGGATTGGGAGTGAGAGTTAATACGATCTGCCCAAGCCAGAAAGGTGAATGGTTAAGTGACCGCGTTGCGTGGTGCAGTTGCGAGGGGATCGTGTCAAGTGCAAACCACACACGGGTGAGGCTGGGAGAAATGATCTTGAAGAACGAAGACGGGGATGGGGAGAGGAAGAGAGGAAGGGAGGAAGAGAGGAAAAAGAGGGGACGACGGAGAGGAGGGAAAAGAAAGGGGAGACGAGCCAGGGCATCCAGGGGTTAGTGACGATGCTATGGTGTATGCACGGGGTGTACGACGTACTACAAATACGGCGCACAAAGTATGGTGCTACAAAGTACCTCGTCCATAATTACTGGGACGTAACAGTGGTTTTGATGAGGGCCAAGAAAGGAGAAATCCATGTTCATGCCCATTCCTCCTTGGTCCTTCTCCCCAATGTCCCTCAAATGTGCCGTCCCTGTTCCTCCGTACAACGTACCTAATTAGTTCGTTGTCTCCCGTCCTTGTTCAGGTCTACCTTATTAGCTACGGAGAGCTGGGCCCCTGCCATTTTAAGGTACCTGTACTCCTGAAATTGCGCTGGATCTGTGTCTTGTCTTTCCGTGGCAGATTCAGAAGGGTCCGTCCCCTGGAGGGTCAAGGTGGGGAGTTTCTGCTTTGAGCTTAAATGTAGGCTGGTGAATTGTATAGTGGTACGCGCGTCCTGGCGAGAACAAGACGAGACTTGTAGGTTGCAAGACCTATAGTCAGGTCAGCAGGGGGGGGGGCAATAGTCAGTTAGGCTGTAATTAACCTCTAAATTCTGCTCTGCATACTGAGTTGGCAAACCATGAATGGACTCGCGTCCGTGGAAGCGCTGCGACGAGAATACCCAGCGAGGAGAACAGGGCAGACGGGTGGGGGAGCTGTCAGGGGCAAGACACACCGTGCAGGTGGGACAAGCCATCTGATTGGCTTTCGATCGGGGAGCTACTTGGGTAGATCTGGTCTAGCTTGTCCCGTCGCAGCTTGGCGGGGGCGACGAATAATTAGCGTACCGCCGCTTCTGGTGATTCTCGTCGAGTTACTACTAAAGTCTCTGCTACGCTATATTTGGCTGCGACGTGACTTCTTTCTATATCTTCCAATTTTTTTTTGTCCCTTTCTGCATTCATGACCTTTTTTCCTTTTTTCTCTTCTTGACTCGCAGGAAAGCTTAGAGTCAAGAACGGCCAAAGCCAACCAAGCGATACCATGGGCTCTTGTCATTTCGTTGATTGGATGCAGGATATGCGCCAACTCTTGGAAAGTGGGTTGAAGACTCGGATCTCTTCCCTTAATCCCCCAATTATTAGACGTCCTCTTTGTATCATGTCCGGTCTTTTCTCTTTTCAGACGAATAAGACGCAAATGCGATCCCAAGGTGGTAGAATAGAGTTATCCCGGGACGGCTGACGAGTGCAAGCAGACAGGTGCTGCTCTTAGAGGGACTCACTGCGGGTCCTGCAGAGCGGCGGCTTCTCAGAACTTGTGTGTGACCCGACTGACGCGTCAATATTGCCGTATAATAGCGTCCTGGCGAACAAAGCGACGCGATGCCGAAAAAGCAGACATCATTACTTTTGTGCTTTTTGGACAGTTGTTTGCCTGTTGCTCCCGCGCACATATCCTTCCAATGCTATTATTTAGGCGGTGTTCTAATGCTGAGTAGCGCAAGTTTCTCGGCTGTGTGGTCTCCTCTTGGAAATGCACCCGGCAGGTCACTTGGCAGCTAGCGCTTCTCAGGTCAGGAGCTCTCAGCTCTCAGCTCTCAGCTCTCAGCTGTCGGCTCCCAGCTGTCGGCTCCTCCACCCATGCTCCCCGCTCGGGGCACGTGTTTGAGGGACATATGAGAAGGGGGATTGCAGATTCCCCCCAACAGGGTATCGCGCTCTCCGCACCAACTGAAGGATGGGGGATGCAGGGACTTGTGGTTCGAGCCTGATAGGGATAAGGATGGATTGGTCTGCAGGTTGCCGCCGACTCGGTGCCAACACCCCCAGTTTACCACATTCGTGGGATTCCCCTACACTGTTCCAAAATACTGGCGAACAGAAACTCATGCGGTGGTGATGCGACCATCACATGGTGGTTCCAGAACCGAACCATCAATCCAACACAACGTGCCTACCTAACCTATCTCTGTGTGTAGAGGCGAAAGACCCCGCGTCAAAATCTGGATGCTTGATCTTCCATCCCGTCAGTAGGTCCCGACCACAGCCACCCTGGACGCGGGGTTACTTCGTGCTAGCGCGATAGCTAGACAAACCACTGGTACGAATTCATAGCTCGCTGTCACATGGGAGAGGGATTGAATGTGGATTGTTGTTGGACCAAGGACAGAAAGAACTCGCCATCTTTGCTCACTTGGTTGGCACCGTTTTCGGCCTTCTGACCACTAGCCCGTATCTCTAACTGACCTCCGCCGTGCACTGGGCTGTCAGCATCCAACCTCCCCATATTTCAATATTTCTTTCTGGTGATGGATGGCACCGTGTCAAGCCTGCCAAGATGTTGTTATCTCTAGGACTTTGTCGGCAGAGGATTCGCGAATGATGGGATTTCTTATCCAGTTAGCGGCAGGTATTTTTCTTTTTCCTCTTTCCTACATCTCTATCTACACGTACCTGCTGTACGGACACTAGTCTGGTTTGGAAAAGTCGTGATGTTGATATCATCATGCCGCCCTGCCAGGGCGGGGATGCGTCCAAGGCTGATAGAAGTATCCGCACCCTGTGCCAACTGCCAACCCAAGTCGGTTCTATCGAAGATAACAGTATCTGTGGAAGCCGATTGTTCCTCTTCGCCTTTTTCCTTTCCATGGGAATTCCTGCCCCTAACATGGCGATGCAACCCAAGCCCTTGGGCCGCCCTCCTTTTCCTTGGATTCAACTTGCATGCAGTGGCAAAATCGCATGTCTCGACCAGTTTACAGCGTCGCCCAACCCCGAAAATGCCGTTTTCACATGAACGCTTGCCATAGTTACTCTGTACATATGAACCAACAGCAAAGAGACCCTCGGCGCCACCCGTCCTCAACCAAAAGTCGATTTTCACCAATATGATATAAGACTACCTACGCTTGCAAGGACGCGACGGCCTGCTAAAGCCTGCACGAGGGCTGTGTTCCGTCACGGCCCGTTTCTCCGCCGCGTTTCGCCTGCATGGCCTGTACTGGAAGCGTGCAAGAGAACCCCGGTGGTATCGCCTATCTGGTCCTGTGGCTCTTTGGGCGTCACGTCACCCACGGCTAATTATATAATAAGGTAATTGCGAAGTTATTACATATGCGACACGGTCCAGATGTTGTTTGAGACGCGCTGCCCTGTTGTGGTATCGTTGTTTCTTGGCCGAAGGGATATATGTACTTTTTGGGTCTGGCTTTTTTTATTGAACTTGATGGTGCACATACCTTCGTACTCGGCAAGGCAGCTGAGTGCGCTGGCCTTTACCCGGCTTGGCGGATACGTTGTGTTGCCTCTGTGACCCATCGGGAGCTTCGTGGTCAAAATGGCATGGGCATGGCATGTCGCGACACGGTTCAGCGACGTCAAATAGTGTACCTGTGCCGACTGATTTACGGCAGGGGTTTTGCATGAATCAGAAAGGGACTCAATGGGGAGACCTCACGTTTTAATATCAAGACCTCACACATAATATTTTGGTAGGGCTATAACGCCGCCGCCAAGACGCATATATACAACCTATTAGATATATATATATATATATATCTGTATAACGAATGCGTTCTTCGTTCTATTGTCCTGGGCTCGACGTCCATCTGGCGTCCCAATTGTCATGATCCCTGGAAAAGATGTATCGACGGGTTTACATGAGGTGCTTTCTGTATCCCCAGTTGAAGGGCGAACGCGAATGTACACGATTATCCGCACAGGTATACATCAGGTACATAGGTACATCCCCGCTACGCCATTCAACGGGCATCTCATGGAAGTCTCCAGCGTAATCGCAACAACCTCAGTTTCCACCCCCGGGTTACATCGTGACATCGTAGCATTCATCTCCAACTATCCGGCAGTATTGTACGTTAGCCATTTTTACCTGAAGCAAAACAAGCATTCCGCGCATCCATACAAGAACACGACTCATATTACCAGGAACAGACTTCATCCTAGAAATCACAATGGTTCGTACATACGCGCCCTTTACCCACCATCCGTATCCGACCCTCTCGTTCTCCCCGCGGCCACTTTATCTCAGTCTGCCTGGGCAAGGCTAATTGTCGCACCGCACAGAATAAGGACGCGTCCCACACTCACATCCACTTCCACCGAGCTCGAGACGCCGATCTTTTCGAAGACTTCTGCAAGGATCGCCTCCCCAACGACGACGTGTATGTCCCTCCCCACCTACAGCCCATCAATCCGGAAGATGAGGACGACGTGGTGCCGGATCAGCATGCCGCCTTCGGTATTACCAAGGCGACACAGGAACGGAAGGAGACGACATGGAAGGATCTCGGTTTAGCCAGCTTGATGGTGCAAGGTCCCAAGAGCGGCCGGGGGAAACAGGGTGGCTCGAGGCTGCCGCGGTGAAACGCTTCGTTGCAGAACGGGAACCGGAAGACTTGTAGGCGATGGTTTTTTTCTATCGGCATGGCATAGAGCGGTTGGAGTTTGGAGTTTGGAGTTTGTTCTGTGATTGAGGGTCTGGGGCTACGCGTATGAAGGAGCGTGGGAGAAATGCGGTTATAAACAGAAGCCACGGAGTATGCACCACGCGCGAAAATATATATATTAAAAAAAATAAAAAATAAAAGACTACGGTGGCCAAGTTGAATGCTACTCTAAGCGCCAGTATGGTGCCCAGCTCCTCGCCCACCACCAAGAATCAAACGGTCGCAGAAGAGAACTCTTGTCTGTCTGGGTGGTGAATACAGTCCCATGCCACAACGACAACCATATCTACGAAAAGTCCCGCCCCAAAAACGCCATGCATGCCCGAAAGATTCAAGAGACCAAAAAGCAAACCAACACCGAAAAATCCCTTGTATCAACCTTGCGACTTGTGTGTATCACTGCTTAACATACTTCTCCCGCTCCAGCACCTCAGGGCGGAACTTGACAAGGAACACAGTCCGCCCCGGCCACAGATCCGCTTCCTCATTCGTCGGCGACCGGATAGTATGGGCGCTGACGCGCGCGGGGAAGCCGGCGCCGTCGCACGCGCCCTCGACGATGCCGGCCACGAACGCGGCGCAGTTGAGCTGCGACATCTCGCGCGGCACGCTGATGTACTGGTTCACGAGCGGCTCGTTGTCGACGATCATGTACTCGTCCGGCGTCTCCGGGTTGGCGCTCTTCTCGAGCCGGTCCGCCTGTCGGCCGAAGAGGTGCGTCCAGAGCATCTGCTTGATGAAGTGCAGGAGGGCGATGATGGTCAGCGGGCGGAGCTGCGAGCGGGGTGGTTCGCGGAACAGGAGGAGGTCGAGGAGTTTGAGGCCTAGCGGGTGGCCTTGTGCGTTGAGGCTGCGGGGTGGGAGAAGGTCGGGAATGTTAGTTCGAGCACCTAGCTATTGGTACGGCAGATGTTGGGGGGGGGGGGGGGGGGGGGGGGGGGGGGGGGGGGGGGGGGGGGGGGGGGGGGGGGGGGGGGGGGGGGGGGGGAGATGATAGATGGGCTGGGGGAGGAGGAGCGAGAATGGACACGCACCGTTGTTCTAGCTCGTTGACTCCTTTGACGCGGCGTTGCGCGTAGCTGACCATCTCGCCGAAGAGGTAGGCGAAGCTGGCCTGGCTGAGTTCCGCGGTCCTAGTGCGGTTCAGTGGCCGATGGTAAATTGTCTTGCCGCTGGAGGGGAGCCGTAGCCCCGATTGCTCCTGGCCGGGGCCTTTGCTGGAGGATAGGTTGGACATATTGGTCAGATATTCATTGGGGAGAAACAAGTCGGCGTCTTTCGGTCACCCGATGGCGATTGGAGTAGGATAGTCGGATCCGAAATGGCGGCTTGGGAGATGGAGCTGGAGAAGAAGCTTGATTGCGGTGACAGGCGAGTTACATACCCAACCTTAGTCCCTCGGTGAGTAAGCTTCACCTTCGGTCTGGTTCGGTGTGGATTCCAGCTGCTAACGGTGAACACCAGCGTGTCATTCTTCGACCCCGAATATTCGATTTAGTGTACTTGGCTATTGTAATTGAAATGCTAAAGGTTCTAGAGGGAATAATGAGAGCGCGTAGTAATGATTTAAGTGTATAGGGCCATATAATGGAGGGCTATGTTTTGATTCCCGCCCGTACACCATCTCCGGCTTTTCATCTCAACTAACTTTCTAGGGTCTATATGAAATTTCGCATGCTTACGTGATTATTATTGTACATAAATCATAGCCTCTATTCTATTATTGTTTTGTTTCCCGTAAAATTACTGTATAGAACCTCCTCAGGACTCGGCCTTGGCCGCCTCTGTGCTAGGAGCAGCTGCCGCCAGGACATCGGCCTTCTCATCGGAACCCGCGGAACTCTGCCCCTTCTCGGCAGCCAACCCAGTCGCGCGGCCTCCGGCAAGGTAGTCCTCGTACTCGCCAATGTGCTTACCGCCCGCGATCCAGCGCTCCGTCCGAGAAGCACGCTTCTCTTCGCACAGCTTGACCAGCGCGGGCCAGTAGACGGAGTGATCGTACTCGAATTCCAATGAGCCATCGCTGAACTCGGCCCAAAGCTGCTCCTTGGGGACGTACTGGCGCATATCCTCATTGAACTTGAGTTTCTCGCGGGTCAACGGGTCGATGAAGGGCGTGATGAGCTTGAAGAAGCCCCAGACGACCCAGGGAACTAGGTTACAGTGTAAGTATTGGGCATTTTATGAGCCACGGGGCGAGAGCCAAGAAGTAGTTAGTGGGGGGCACCTACCATTAATGATGAGAGCCTTACCAAGGCGCTCCGGGTAATGAGTCTGCAGAATACTGAGCACCTCGCGGCCCAAGCTAATAGAAGGGGCGGTGTTCGAGCGGCTCTTGCTCGTCTTGAAGTTGATGAGCAGCGCGAGGGTCTCCTGGCCGGGCGGCATGAGCTCGATGACGCGCTCCACCATGAACACAAGATGCTGGACCTGCCGCGGCGACGCCTCCGTGTTCTGGCGCCCTGGGTTCAGGTAGTGGCAAGGGCGGCCCTCGCGGTCGAAGCCGAGGAGGATCTGCTTGCCCGTCTCCGACTCGGGGCTCACGTGGTCCGCGGTCACGGTGGCGTCCGGGGCGACGCCGTAGTCGCGGCGCCAGGCGAGCGTGTCCAGGAGGCGGCGCTCGGACTCGGTCTGCTGCCACTTGGTCGCGCGCAGGTAGCGGAGCAAGCATTCGCGCGTCAGCCATTGGCGTTCCGCGTCGGTGATGGGGCCGGTCTTCTCCGGGGACGTGGTCTTGATTTCGGTCCAGGAACGGGCGCGTTCGAGGAGCCACTCGTACTTGACCTTTTCGTCGGCGGTCAGGGGCGGACGCGGTGGGGGGACGCTCTCTGGCGTGGGAGCTAAGAGGGGCGTCTTGAGGGCCATTGTGTGAGTTGACGTGGAGCGGAGGATGGAGATTAGAAGTGGCGGTCGTGTCTCATGCAAAATTCGCGAGCTTCTAGTGAAAAAGTCGCTGGTGTCTAGGTATGCGATGCTGCAGATGATGTCAGACGGAAAGGAAGATCCCGGAGGTTATACAGCAAATTTAACCCACAGGTCCTCGACAAAGCTCTGCAGCAGATAAAGTGAGCCTGGGAAAGAAGAAGGAAAGAAGAAAACAGATGCAAGAATAAAAATAAAAATAAAAATACACTGCAGGAAAGGATGTGCTTCCGGTGAATGAAAAAAAGTTCCGGTTCACAATGAAGCTGACGGGAAATTAGTTCAGTGATATGTCTTACCTCTAAGCCACCAGATAAGGGAGTTGTTGAGACTGGATTACATAAGCAGTCTAACCCCTTTTCCAGGGGTATATGGTTCCTGAATCGTGACTACTAGTACATCCTGCTGTATTACACATGCCTACTTGGTCTTTCTTCCCTGAAACTTGTCAGCTGAGACGCTGTTCGTTTCTGTAAGGTGATGACGGCCACGCGGTCATGAATCTACTTCTTTAAACCCAAGAAATGTACAGACATGCGCCCTGCTGCAAGAGGTCTCAGAGAAAGCTACACAAATGTCAAAAAGCACCAACAAAAGAAATATCAGTGACATGACCTCTGGATCCCAGCGCAGCTCTATGCGGATCCTAGGGCAGTATGGACAAAGGGTAAGCTGAATGGGTTTAATTATGACTACTGGATACTTCATTCATTCTTTGACATCCTGGCCAATTGACCCAATTCTGCAACCTCTGGGATGTTTTCTTCAGAGTCTCAAGTTTCTCAACTGGACGATCGAGCAAAGGAACTTCCGAGGTTTACTTAGCAAAGGCTCTCTATATCTCACATGCCTGCAATTCGTACAGTGAGTCGTTGAAGACAACTTAGCAGATACCGAAACGAAGAGACTGTATGTATCATATGCAATCAAGATCCAGCGTATTGTATTGATCTACGTGTCTTACCTGTCTATGTAGAACAATATCGTGCCTAGCCAAGGAGACTTGTCCTCCCAGGGCAGCGAAGCCAAGTTTATGAAGAAGAAACACATCTCTCTGCTCCGTCCTTCATTAGTAAAACACCTCCTCCGGCTCCTCTTCGTCCATGTGCTGGTGGTTCTGAACCTCTTCCTCTGGCTGTGTCTGACTTCGAATTCGAAGACCGCACAGCACAGACTGAAGCTCATCCATATCAACCTTCCCTTCTCTGCACTTCACACTGCCAATCGGGATTTCTTCATGTGAACCCCGCGGCGCAAAAACCGGCAGAAAGTCAGAAGCATCCTCCGGACACACCTCAGGGTCGTTGGTAATAAGCGCAATTCGAAGCAGTAGCTTGGGCTGTTGCCGCGCATTGCACATCGGCTGCCCGAAGCCCTCTTCAAGGAGTAGCTTTGGAATCCTGTTCTCTAAGACGGGCGGAAGCCTGTCAAAAATTAGGTTATGCAGTACTCCCTGGAAGAGATCACTGTTCGTCAGATCGCGGGCGTAGTTCTTCGCCATACGAATATAGTACTCCTGTCGACTCTGGGATCCCCTCAGCTGGGGCAAACCTGGGGCTACGTCTTGTGAGGAGAGGACGACGTCGACGTCCATGGGGTAGCGGTCGTGAGACGCATCACATGTCTCCGCGAGATCTGGGATCGCGAGGTCCTACGAAAGCCATGCCGCGTGATGTGTCGGGGACCGGGTCTTGAATGGTATCTGGTTTCTTGCAATAATCCATTTTGGGAGGTTCCTGATGCCGAGATGGTAATGGTGTCAAGGTGATCAAGTTTGTCTGTTCGACTCGGTCGATGATAGTGTGTAAATCTACCTGGTGAGATTGGTTGAGACGTGTAGTGGTGGGGGTAAAGAGGTTGATAGTTGATACGTAGGTAGTTGACTCGAATCTTTGTAGACTTTGCAGTGTCTGGTGCCCAAGCGTGACGTATCGAGTGTAAGAAGCCTCTCAGAAAAAAAAAAAGAGACTCTGGGGATATATATACCTGCATAAGACCTGTCTCCTCTCGAGATCATAGCTCGTTGTAGCCGGGCATTCTGCACTCACTTGAGTTTGGCCAGGTGGGTTGAATCACACTATGGTGAGTGAACCTTCACTGCTTCAGACCTACTCTTTCACTCTCATTGTTCAAGTTAACTAATAAAGTACATATCAGAGAGTGAATTACTGGGTCACGTAACCCATTGATTCGAAAACATCACTGAATAACAACGGAACTGGATATTTCTCTACGAGTATGTTGTTCAGGGAGGCTTTTCAGGGGTAAAGCCAACCAGGTGTCTTGGAGTGGAAATAAGAATAATTATTATTTTATCCAACCTAAATTAATAATATAATTCATTCAG